CATCATCATCATCATCATCATCATCATCATCATCATCATCATCATCATCATCAACAACAACAACAACAACAACAACAACAACAACAACAACAACATCAACAACAACAACAACCAAAAACTGCAGACACCATATATATGTCAGTATGTCAATTGTCCCGTGCTGTGGGTGGTTGGCGGGTGCTCTGGTGTGGTTTGCTCCTTCTTTCCTGTCAAACAACTAGCATTCTTTTCTCACCTTCTTCTATTTTGTGTATGTTACTCTCTTGTGTAACACCTCTAATCTTCGGCACTTATATGACCTTATTGTGTTGCAAGTGCCGTAAAACTCTCACCCAAACAAACAAATTGTCCCATGCACCAGTACATGACATAACCAGCCTCTTTTCGTTTTTTTTTTCTTTCCAGAATTTGAGAGCTAAAAGCCCAGCCCACCACACCTGAATCTTTGATCTTACGTCCCTTTTTGGATTTCTTCAGGGTTTCTTACCTTCATCGAAGCTACACGGACCCGATTTGGATTAATCATTTTTAACGGCAAACCCTTGTTGGTATTGTGAATTCCAGTAGTGTTCTTCTATTTCACTCGGAAGCCTTAAACTCGGAGAAAAAATAAAACCACCAAAATAAACAACAAAAAGAACCCCTCAAATTTGTCACTAAAAGCAAACGAACATCAACAACAACAACAACAACAACAACAACAACAATAATAATAGTAGAAATAACAACAATAGTTGAAATATACCGTAGAGGAATTACCCCGTAACATCAAGAGCTCTAAAAGAAACCAGCCACAAGATGAGCGCGGAAGATTCCATGCCCAAGGAGCCCAGCTCCCGGAAGATGGACGTGGACCAAGGCATCCCCATGCTGGAGAAGAAAGACCCCGAGGCCAGCAACGACCCGAAACAGATCGAGGATTCAGGGGAGGGCATCGTGCTGCAGCAGAAGCTGTCCTTGGTCAACGGCATCACCGTCATCGTGGGCAGCATCATCGGCTCGGGCATCTTCGTGAGTCCCCGCGGAGTGCTAGCCGGCTCGGGGAGTGTCGGGATGTCTCTCATCGTCTGGCTGCTGTCCGGAATCTACTCCATGATCGGCGCCTACTGCTACGCGGAATTGGGTACATCCATCGTGCGGTCTGGTGCTGATTACGCGTACATCTTCGAGGCGTTCGGCCCCTTCTTGGCGTTCCTGCGTCTCTGGGTGGAGTGCATGATCGTGCGGCCGTGCTCCCAAGCCATCGTGGCCTTGACCTTCGCTGCTTACGTCATCGAGCCGCTGTTTCCGGACTGCGAGCAGCCTGATGTGGCTGTGAGGCTTTTGGCTGTCGTCTGCATCAGTGAGTTGATTTTTGTTTAGTTTTGTTTGTTTTGTTTGTTTGTTTGTTAGTGAATGTGTGTGTTTGGTTTCCTTCTCTCTCTCTTTCTCACTGTCTCTGTCTCTGTCTCTGTCTCTGTCTCTCTGTCTCTCTGTCTCTCTGTCTCTCTCTGT